TGTAGTAACATATGTTATTAGGGCCTATTAAATACTATTATAAATTTTAATTTTAAATTTTCAAAATTTTATTTGTTAATTTGAAAACCAATGAAGATGGAGGAAAAGTTTCCTTACTATATTTGTTAATTAAGCTAATTGAAAAATTGAAGGCCTTTGAATTTTATCCAAACCTCATAATTCTCGAGATATAAATTATTTTTTATAAATTACATAATTTTGAAATTTTGATATAACAACTTCTCTCTATCTTAAGGAGCGCTACAACTTTGGTCTTATAACTATTTCTCTAAGTCTTATGGTTTCCAAGATAATAATATAATTAAGCAACTTAATGTATGTCTAATTAAGGTTGTTAACTAATAATTGATATAAATGAGATATATATATAGTAATGACTAGAAATAATACTCTGCAATATCTTAATATTAAAACGATAAAATATGTCTGTATGAATTAATGGAATATGCTTGAATAATTGTATATGAAGTATAAAAGCAGAATACTATAATTATAAAAGCAAAAATTACTTCGACGAAGGTCGGTGAAGTGATATAATGATATATAAAAGTAGTATTTAAATAGTAGAATGATAAAATATATTCGCACGCATAATTGGAACTTAAAAATATTATACTTAAGGTAATTGTTATAATTATAAAATCGAAAAATTTTCGCTGGACGTTACATCGTCTGTGGCACAACAAACCATCTTTGGATGGGTTCTTTCAGGTCCAACTACAACGAACGATACTTCCTTCTCAGCGCAAGCACATCATTGTACTTTGGATCATGACTTACATGAACTCATGACAAAATTTTGGTTACAAGAAGAGCTTCCTGCTTCTAAACATCAAACATTAAGTGCAGACGAATAGGAATGTGAGAGACATTTCCAGTCGACTCATTCACGGGATGCAAGAGGGCGATACGTTGTTCGCCTTCCTTGCAAGTCTAGCCCAACTGCGTTAGGAGAATCAAAGGCAAAGGCGCTTAGTTGTCTCAACAGAATGTTTCAGCGATTCTCATCAAATTCCGAAGTTCGACAGCTCTATGTCAATTTCATTGAAGAATATAAAACCATGGGTCATATGGTAGCAACTGACATCTCTAACAATCGAGCTTCTCCTGTGTACTACCTTCCTCACCATGGAGTAATCCGAGAGAGTAGCGTCACCACCAAGCTAAGAGTTTATTCAACGGCTCTAGCCATACTAGTAATGGTCTCTCCCTTAATGACATTCTTCACGCAGGTACAAAACTCCAATCAAATATTTCAGGAATTCTGTTGTGGACTCGAACGCACCGTATTCTTTTCTCAACCGACATAGTTAAAATGTTTCGTCAAATCGCAATTCATCCGGACGACTGGGATTTACAGAGAATACTGTGGCAAGAACGACACAGCCAACCTATTGCCTACCAACTTACTACAGTGACATATGGGCTTAACTGCGCTCCCTTTTTAGCGCTACGAACAATCCAGCAATTGGTGAGTGATAAAGGTTATCGTTTTCCATTGACAATTGTTCCCATGTCAAAAGGTAGATATGTCGACGATATCTTTGGAGGAGCGGACACTATTTCAGAGGCGAAGGACATTGTCCGAGATGTAATACAGCTCTGCGAAGCAGGCGGATTCCCCTTACAAAAATGGAACAGTAACTGTTTAGAACTTCTGCCTAAATCTAATAATGGATCCTCTTCTACAGTCGAAATTGAGCCCACACACTTCAAGATCTTGGGCCTTATCTGGAAACCGAACACAGACACCTTTCACTTTACAGCTGCGACATCACCCATCACCGTTTTCACCAAGAGGACAATAGCTTCGGACATTGCAAAATTATACGATCCGTTAGGACTGATTGCTCCAATCCTGATAAGAGCAAAGATTCTTTTACAGGAACTCTGGCTATTAAAAGTTGAGTGGGATGAACCTCTTTCCCCAGAACTCGAGCAACGATGGACGACTTTTCGAAAACAATTACATCAGCTCGATCAACTCTCTATACCAAGATGGCTCGGTATCGTTCGCTCAAATACTTCTGTTGAACTTCATGGCTTTTCCGATGCATCACAACTTGCTATGGCTGCCGTAATTTACGCTAAAGTTTCTGGTAACGATGGGAAAGTCTCCGTCCAACTAATATGTTCCAAGACAAAGGTCGCACCGATTAAGAAACTTACAATCCCTCGACTCGAACTCACCGCCGCTCTTCTCTTGGCACGCCTGATGGTGCATACTGTAAATGCCCTTGATCTCCCTAACGTAACGACATTTTGTTGGTCTGATTCTTCAGTCGCATTAACTTGGATTACCACTCAGCCATCTCGCTGGAAGGACTTTGTTCGCAATCGCGTATCTTCTATACAAGAGCTCCAGTCAAACACATCATGGCGTTTTGTACCAGGCAAAGAAAATCCAGCTGACTGTGCTTCGCGAGGTCTGAGGTCAGATCAATTATTTCAACATGATCTATGGTGGAAAGGTCCTGGCTGGCTATCCAAGTCGCAAACATCCTGGCCTTCAATAGTACACAAATCACCGCCAGACGTTGATTTAGAGGAACGACCTGGACATGTCTTGGTTGCTGTCGCACGACAACCTTCCTACTGGGATCTCTTGGATAAGTACTCTTCTTTTATTAAGTTATCACGAATTACCGCAACCTGCCGCAGAGTTGTATCATGTTTACGACAGGTTCCTCATTCATCACCATTAAATTATCCTTTAACACCAGTTGAGATCGATCAGAGTTGTCTTTTTTGGATAAGGATTGTGCAACAGACGTGGTTCTCTACCGAGATCGATCTAATATCCAGAGGAAAACAACTCCCTAAATCTAATCCTTTAATACGTCTAATTCCATTCTTAGATAAACATAATTTGCTTCGAGTTGGAGGACGTTTGCATAATGCACAGATCGATTCAAAATCCAAACATCCGCTTATTTTACCTCGTAGGTCTCCTCTCAGTGTACTTATAATCGATGATGCTCACAAAAGAATGCTACACGGAGGTACTCAAGTCACATTAAATTTCATTCGCCACACATACTGGATCACGCATTCTGAAATGTGGACGCTGCGCTCGCTATCGAGGAACTAGAGCTAAACAGCTGATAGGTCAACTACCAACGACTCGAGTGACTCCTGCCCATTTTACAACTCGGGCGTAGATTATGCAGGCCCTGTCACTCTGAAGACTTGGAAAGGGCGGGCGGCACGAACTTATAAGGGTTACTTATGCATATTCGTTTGTTTCGCAACCTCAGCCGTTCACATAGAAGTCACAGACTACACGACTGAAGCATTCATTGCTGCCTACAAACGATTTACTGGCAGGAGAGGTGTATGTGCTACGCTTCAAAGTGATTGCGGAACGAATTTCGTAGGAGCCGATGCCGTATTAAAACGACAATTTGAGTTATCTTCCAAGAAAGCAGGTCACCTTGCTTCACTTCTTGCTAATGATGGCACCGAATGGAGATTTAATCCTCCATCAGCCCCCCACTTCGGAGGAAAATGGGAGGCAGCTGTGAAATCGACAAAATTTCATTTACAACGAGTATTAGGAGATACCTCATTAACATATGAAGAGATGACAACTATTACTGTACAAATAGAAGCAGTATTAAATTCGGGGCCTCTATGTCCACTGTCAGACGACGTATCGGACTACTCAGCTCTAACACCAGGACATTTCCTAATTGGAGAAGCACCCACTACAATATCAGAGCCTAAATTTGTCTACAGAAAAATATTCCAGGCTCACTCGATGGCAGTTGCTTAGACAGAAGGTGGACCATTTTTGGTCAAGATGGTCATCCGAATTTCTACAACGTCATCTAGCGATTTCAAAGTGGCATCATCCCTCAACCGAAATAAAAGTAGGATCCCTGGTCTTAATTACTGATGAACGCTACCCGCCAGGAAAATGGCCTCTTGCCAGAGTCATGCAACTACACCCAGGACCCGACGGTCTTACAAGAGTCGTTACCTTAAAAACAACTGCCACAACTTACAAACGTCCCATTAACAAATTATGTATTCTACCAACGGATCCTGATGCTCTGTCTTCAACGGATCTTCCGTCGAAGGCGGGCGGAAATGTTAAGGAAGCGAGTGACTTTTCCAACGCAACGATCTAATCGACATTATTAATATTGATTAATTCGTGGAAGCCGCAAGAACCCGAATGCCGCGCTTGAAACGAGAGAGTGGCGCGCTTCATCTGCTCTTTCGTATCCAAGCAATTCCGTTGTTGATTATCACTCTGTGTGATAGATTTGCATGCTTCTCAAGCGCAGTTATCTAGTGCCTTTACGGTGAATCTTTGGGATATTACGTAATCATCCTTACTCTTTAAAGCCTCGTCCAACAGGGGACTGAGGGTGTAAAACATTGCCTCGTCCGATTGGGGTCCAAGGTAAGAAAACAGCGCAACAGGCGCTCTTACTCCTTCAGTTCAGCCTTTCTTTCGAAAGGCATACCGAAAGGTGATAGAGTCTCCATTCGACTCTCTTACTAAATTTAAAGTCTTTCTTCATGGAAGATTGCCGTTGACCCCGACACGGGCGAGGTGGTACTATCTTTATTAAGATCATTCCTTCTTTATCTTTTGCCATAGACCCTCTCACACGAGGCGAGGTGTGGAAGTAAACGGACTTCCTTCTCTCTACCATATTTATATCTTTTCCTACAGCTATTATAACCTTCTCTGACGAAGAATTATATAGAAGAACCATCTACAGCTTAGCGTTCCAATTGATGATAGACGAACGATCTACCGCCAGCGTTTCAACCGACGATAGAAGTACGACGGCGCGGCAATAAGTTTTGGACTTTACTATACATATTCAAATCGCATTTTCTTTGCTGCACTGTCTATCAAAGAGAAATTTCGCTGTCTTATGTCTCGTTGTAAATTATTTACCTGTTTTCTAGCTTCCTTTTCATTGTCACGCAACTTATCTAAACTATTCATCATTTCCTTTACAACTATGTCTTTTGCATTTTTTGTTACTGTATCTTTCAATGCGTTTTGCATAGATTCAGCGTCCTGACTAGCAGCTTTATAATTCTTTTCCGCCGATTTTAATTCATTTTCTAAATTCATAATAGTCTATTTTTCTTCTTAAGACTTTCTAATAAAGCTTCTTCTTTACCCTTTTTTTCTGCTTCTAGAGCTTTCTTTGCAGCTTCTTGTTCAACAATAACTTTCCTTTTCTAAGTATAATTTATAGGACGAATAAGCACCCTGTGCAAGTTTGATTAAATCAGCTGTAATGGGTATTTTGTAAACCATTTTATTATACTTTTTTAAGCCATCAGTGATATATAATTTAGCATTAAGAGTTTTTTCTGTCATTCTACTTTTTCTTGAGTTAAAATTTTAGAAGATTCTTGAAAACCTCTCTCAACATCGGCGTTTCCGTGTGTCAGAGCAAGAGCATTCTGTACAACTCGTTTAATTTCTGCA